AAAAGCATCAATTTGACTTTGTTTGTGTCAATTGCTAATTTAACACTAACAAGTCCATTCTCAAGAGCACTCACAACAGAACACAGTTGGCAAAACAGTACAGGATTAAGAATAAGAATAAGAATATGATACGTGCAACGATAGCAGTGTCATCTGCTGTATTTGAAGTCTGACGTGTACAGTGTGAACAGGAATGGCGCCAGCACTTACCCTTGTGGAGCCCCTATACTGCTCATTAATGTCCCAGAAACACAATTCCCCAGCCTAACAAACTGTGGCCTTCCTGTCAGGTAATCTGTGATCCAGGAAACACAGGAATTATCCACTCCCATCTCTGTGAGCTTGTCTTTGAGTATGGTAGGTTGGATGGTGTTGAATGCACTTGAAAAGTAGAAGAACATGATCCTCACATAAACCCCAGGTTCCTCCAGATGAGACAGGGCAGGGTGAAGCATGTAGAGGATAGCATTATCCACTCCAATGTGTTATTTGTATGCACACTGCAGGGAATCCAGTTTGTCTTTGACCTCAGACCTCAGAAGGTGTAGAATCAGCTGCTCCAGGGTTTTCATGATGTGTGAAGTGAGGGCCACTTAGCCTGGCTGGGCCATCCAGTTGCGTGCATCACTTGCCGTTCCTTCCCACAACAGTCTGGACTTAGGCCAATTGGGAGCCCTAAAAGTGGGCGGGAGTACTTTCCTTGATAGACAGACTACTGTAACCAATCACCGTAACCAAACATCTGACATCATCACAGTGCGCAACTGTGTTCCCTGCTGGGCTCTCAAGCATCAAGTAAAGGTTTGGTAATATTTCAACGTGTGCGAACAAACAATGTCTTTTATGTCTTCTTCTGCGGATATAAACGATTTCTGCCGACTTTCCAAAGTCAAGTGCAAAATTAACAGCGTTCTGAATGAACGGCACTTTGAAAAGTCCTGCAGCATGTGTTAGACGTCACCATCTACACATGGACCAATCAGAGGCTGCCTTTCCCTGTTGGAAACAGTGGAAACTCAGTCACTGATTGGCCTGGTTATTTTCTGATTTCTAATACACGCTCCCAATTGGCCGAAGTCCAGACTGTTGTGGGAAGGAACGGCAAGTGATTCACGCAACTGGATGGCCCAGCCAGGCTAAGGGCCACTGGTCTGTAGTCACTGAGTTCAGCAGGACATTTTGTTTTTGGTACTGGCACAATGCAGGATGTTTTCCACAGGACAGGTGCCTGCCCCAGCTGTAGACTCAGGTTGAAGATCTTGTGGAGAGGTTGACACAGTTCTGCAGCACAGTCTCCAAGCAGCCTTGGACACACACCATCTGGATCAGCTGCCTTCCTAGGACAAAGTTTTCCAAGCTCCATCCTCACCCCTGTTTTGGTGACAGATAAGGACTGGTGCTCTTGGAGGGAGGCAATTGAAGTGGTTGAGACATTTGAACAAGATGGAGGAGGAAGGGGAGAAGTTGTAGTGGAGATTTGTTGTGGAGAGGAAGGTGGAGTAGCAGTGGAAGTGGGTGTGACAGCAGTGTCAAATCTGTTGAAGAACAGGTTGAGTCCATCAGCTCTTTTCAGATCACCCACCACTGGCTGTCTTTTCTTTTGACTGCTGTGTCCAGAGATGGTACTGATTCCTCTCCACACTTCACAGATGTTGTTGTGTTGTAGATTGTTCTCTATCTTCTTTTTGTACTCCAGCTTTGCTATCTTCAGTCTCGTCTTCAACTCTTGTTGCACTTGTTTGAGTTGTTCTTTGTCACCATCTTTAAAAGTCTCCTTTTCTGGTTAAGGACTGCTTTTATGTCACTTGTGATCCAACACTATTTTGCAAAACATTGCACGGAATATCTTCAGTTGATTTGGGTGGAATGTTAACAACTACTGTTATGATATGACTGAATTCTCTTGGAACATAATATGACAGAAGAGCAACTGCCAACAGTTCAATATCTGGACAACACAACTTCTCCTTGACAGTTACAGTGCATCTGGAAAGTATTCATACCACTTCACTTTTTCCACATTTTGTTATGTTACAGCCTTATTCCAAAATGGATTAAATTCCTTGTTTCCCTCAAAAATTTTACACAAAATACCCCATAATGACGAAGCGAAAAACTTTTTTTTGAACATTTTGCAAATGTATTAAAAATAAGAACACTCAAATGTTGCATATACATAAGTATTCACACCCCTTACTTAATACTTGGTCGAAGCACCTTTTGCAGCGATCATAGCCTCTAGTATTCTTGTGTATGATGCAACAAGCTTGGCACACCTGGATTTGGGGAGTTTTTCCCCATTCTTCCTTGCACATCCTCTCAAGCTCAGTGAGGTTGGATGGGCAGTGTCGGTGCACAGCTACTTTCAGGTCTTTCCAAAGATGTTCAATCGGGTTCAAGTCTAGGCTCTGGCTGGGCCACTCAAGGACATTCAGAGACTTGTCCTGAAGCCACTCCTTTGTCTTCTTGGCCGTGTGCTTAGGGTCATTGTCATGCTGAAAGATGAAGCATCGCCCCAGTCGAAGGTCTCGAGTGCTCTGGAGCAGGTTTTCATCAAGGATTTCGATGTACTTAGCTACATTCATTTTTCCCTCGATCCTGACAAGTCTCCCAGTTCCTGCCGCTGAAAAACATCCCCACAGCATGATGCTGCCACCACCAGGCTTCACTGTAGAGATGGTATTGGCGAGGTGGTGAGCGGTGCCTGGTTTCCTCCAGATATGACACTTGGCATTCAGGCCAAAGAGTTTGATCTTCGTTTCATCAGACCAGAGAACTTTGTTTCTCCTGGTCTGTGAGTCCTTCAGGTGCCTTCTAGCAAAGTCCAACCGGGCTGTCATGTGCTTTTTACTGAGGAGTGGCTTCTGTCTGGCCACTCACCCATAAATGCCTGACTGGTGGAGTGCTGCAGAGATGGTAGTCCTTCTGTAGGGTTCTCCCATCTCCTCAGAGGAACGCTGGAGTTCTGTCAGAGTGACCATCGGGTTCTTGGTCACCTCCCTGACCAAGGCCCTTCTCCCCTGCTTGCTCATTTTGGCTGGGCGGCCAGCTCTAGGAAGAGTCCTGGTGGTTCCAAACGTCTTCCATTTCTTAATGATGGAGACCACTGTGCTTTTTAGGATCTTCAATGCAGCAGATATTTTTCTGTAACCTTCCCCAGATCTGTGTGCCGATACAACCCTGTTTCGGACCTCTATAGACAATTCTTTCGACTTCATGGCAAGGTTTGTGCTTTGACGTGCTCTGTCAGCTGTGGGATCTTATATAGACAGGTGTGGCTTTCCAAATCATGTCCAATCAGCTGAATTTGCCACAGGTGGACTGCAATCAAGTTGGAAGAACATTTCAAGGCTGATCAGTGGAAACAGGATGCACCTGAGCTCAATTTTGAGTTTTATAGCAAAGGGTGTGAATACTTATGTATATGCAACATTTGAGTGTCTTATTTTTGATAAATTTGCAAAATGTTCTAAAAAAAAGTTTTTCGCTTTGTCATTATGGGGTATTTTGTGTAAAATTTTTGAGGGAAAAAGGGAATTTAATCCATTTTGAAATAAGGCTGTAACATAACAAAATGTGGAAAAAGTAAAGTGGCATGAATACTTTCCGGATGCACTGTATGTGTGAAGGGTTACACCATCTCTGGTTGACAAATAAAGCCAGACCTCCTTCTGTCTTCTTGCCACTAGCTTGAGCATCTCTGTCTGATCTTATGAGAGTGAAGCCAGGTAGATCCACACTGGAGTCTGAGTTGTTTTGATTCAACCAGGTTTCAGTAAAACACAGGAGACTGCACTCACGGTATGCTTTCTCAGTCTTCACCAATATCTCCAGCTCATCGCTTTTGTTGGGCAGAGAGTTGACGTTTCCCACGATGATTGACGGAAGAAAGGGTTTATATCGCCACCTCCTAGCATTCAGTTTTGCCTTCACCTTTGCACCAGCACGGCAACCACAATAACACCTCCTGATGTCCTCTGGAATTGTATGTAGTTGTCCAGATTTGCTTTTCCTCAATAAAAGGAGCTCTTCTCTTGAGTAAACTTTTCCCTCAGCAGAAGTATCCATCAGCAGCCAACAACATGACAACAAAAATATGAAAAAAATCTAGCATAAATTACAAAAATTACAGATAGTACAGAGAGACCAGATTTGCAGCAAACTCTCGGTTCAAGTGCACCATTTGAATTATGTGAGGTATATAAAGACAGACTTTCAGGATGTTTGGTAAAGACAACATTATATAGGCAATACAAATTGTATATAGGACAGGGCCAAGAACCGAGCCTTGTGGAAAAACTTAAAATAAGTACAAAAGAGAAGAGTATTGAAGTAGGAGAGGGATAAGTACGTCCACATCTACCCTCTGGTCTACTTTGTCTATGTATATGTACACACTCCTATACACGTGCACCCTAAACATACATATGCAAACCTGTTGTAGAGAATGGTCAGCTGTATATGAGACTTTTGACAGGTCAATGAAAACAATGGTAAAATCTCTGTTCTTGATTGTAGAAACAGTAGTGTTGCCATGTAAAGTTATGATGACAGAAGAGTTATACTCCTCCTCATCGTCAATTTATTAGAGTGCTGCTCCAATGAGCTCCCATTTTCTGCACATTTCCTTATTCGAACTGGTTTGGGGTCAACAGAGGACAGTATGGACGAGTGCCACCCCACATTCTCATTTTGAAAATATCTTTGGGGGAAAAAAAACAACAGTTTGCTCAAGATCCAGTGAATAAATACTGAGGGTGCCTGTGTCTCCAATAGTCTCACTGCTCACATTTACCACTGACTTCTCTACAACCATGCTCCACTTAGGCACAACACTCTGTGAGTATACTGGTGGCATATTAAAAAAGAGATGCTGCATGGCTGCATGAGGAATATTTGGCTCTTAATTCTCTTAAGTTTTAGTCTTCTTACCAAAGAGTGTCTCTGATTGGTTTTGGGTTGAAGCTTCATCTGTGTTGTTGGGTCTGGATAACACTTTAATGAGTGTCTTTCTTTCAGTGCTGGCAGCGATCTTTGTGCTTGTAAATCCAGGTAAATAGCTTCGATAAGACTGTGTGTTTATTCATTCATTTATTTTTACTGAGCTTTAATCAAACTTTCTACTTTAATACTTTCAGGTGTCGCCATATTTACAATGACTACCTGTGAAGGCAACTATGTCCATCGCCTGAGCTGTGGTATGACTTGACATGCTAAACTATCTTTCCACAAGTTTATTTTGGCAGCCCTTTAGAACTACTTTAATTTAGTTTGTCACAATAACTATCACATGACTTACTGCAATGATAAAAAGGAAAGATCTGGAGAAAAAAAAAACATGGATGTGCCTTTAAGAGTCAAACAGAAACAAGTTGCAGTTTTTGATTACTAAGGGAAAAAATATAAGCAGTTCCTCCAACACACTGGGGAAAAAAACATATTTTCAAAACTGTGCAATCTTTTGCTGTATTTCCATTTTTTCTAATTTCCCCCCTCTCTGCTGTGTCACAGATTCTGGGATGATAAGAGTTCAGACTGTGCTGTATGGACGTGGAGACAGTGTGACCTGCAGTGAGGATCAATCTCCACACAAGACCTCAAACAGAGATTGCTCTATGGCCGGAGCTCTGGATATCATCAGAAAACGGTACATGCATATTTTATTGTGCTTTGTGTTAAGTTACTTGTGTGACTTTGTTTGCTCTGTCCACTGAAATGTCTTTGCTGACTTGGGGACAAAGATGGGTCAGAGACTGGCTATGCTCCTGGGGGCAGTGTAAAAAGATTATGGAGCAGAAACACAATTGTCTCAGTGAAATTTCTGTAATATGGGACTGGAATATCAGTTTCGTCTGACAGAATCCTCATAATTTATGAAGGAGCCAGACAGAAATATTACGCCTGTTTTTGTATTACAATAATAATGATAAGCAGCTGAAGCGTCACAAGTCTTATCCCTTACCTCTATATTTACTCTTCAACTGTACATAAAAAGTTTGCACAGTCGTTCAGTCATACAAGGATAATTACATTTTTATACATTTGTTAACTAATTATGAACACATTATGAGAAAATCATTTGCATCACTGTATTACATCCCAGTTTTAATATGGTTCTGCTTGAAGCATTCCCTCTATTTCACTCCTGCAGGTGTGATGGAAAAACTGTGTGTGAACTAGGCCTTACTGACATCAGTGGTAGTGGGCCTGATCCATGCAGAGGCACCTATAAATACCTTCAGACCACATACAACTGCCTTCCAGCAAGTCAGTCACGTCAGCATTTCTTTGTATATTTTCAGGATTATAGTCCGTGGTCACTTAGTTTTGAAACATGAATATGTGCAGCTAATGTACATCAATAACACATTTAACAGGAACTCTGTATCATTGTGTCATAAAAGAGGGTATTTTTAATACTTTTAACCAAAGTGTGCATTTTATTGTATGTTGTGCAAATAAATATAATATAATATAATATAATATAATATAATATAATATAATATAATATAATATAATATTATATTTTATTATATTATATATGAATACAGATTTTCTTTTTAAACAAAATGCATAAAGGTCTAAAATGTGGATGTAATGATAACATTCCATCTCTTTTCATTCTGTTTCACAGTAAGACATGTGGTATGTGAGAACTCCTTGGCACATCTACAGTGTGGTAAGATCATGTGTCCTCTACTTCGTATGGCACAATGCATGAGTGTGATCTTAGTTTTAATGACCTCTCTATTAGCCCTGCTTGCCTGTTCCTCTTATCAGGAGAAGGTCTGGTAATATTGGTCCAAAGGGCTGAGTATGGACGTGCTGATCGTACTACATGCTCCTACCAACGCTATGAGCCTAAACTTGCAAATGTCCACTGCTCACACATCTCTACCAAAGTTGCTGACAGGTTACCAGCTCTTCATCACACTCATGTTTAAGTTGAAAGGCATTTGAGCTCAGTAAACTACATTTACTTCTACTGATTTTGACCTTCACTCATATCTGAAATGTTATTTTGATCAAAAATACCAAGGTTTCTTAATACTCTTTTTGACTCTGCCTTCACAGCTGCAATGGAAAGAACAGCTGCGTGATTAGAGCCAGCAACTCGTTGTTTGGAGACCCCTGTAGTGGTATCTACAAATACTTGGAAGTGACTTACGTATGTGAATGTAAGTGACTTTGAAAGCCACTTTCATCCTGTTAATGCTGTTGTTTTGAACGCCTTCCTGCAAAATAACCCAATCACTTATATATTTCTTTTCTGTCCTTTTTTTTCCCGCTGTTGCTTTTCAGATCCTGCAAGATCCACAGGCAGCTTTTCAGGCCTTTTTTACATGCCAGAGACCAGAGGTCAGAGATATGACAGAGATGATTCTGACAGAGATTAAATTTATTTAGTTCTCTGTGTCTTGTGGTAAGGTCCAATTATTCTTGATTTTGCGTGAATAAATGCTCAATTTTAAACCACAAAAGTTGCTTCATGACGACTGTTAGATCAGGAATATTTGGTTGAACTCTGTCAATGTGCAAAAATAACAATAGATCCTTTAGAGTATTGCAGGAAGTCAGGGGGAAAAACGTGACAATTTGAGCATTATTTCTGCACCCCCCCACCAGGTTATGGTTAGAAAAAAGTTCTGTCTTGGTTCTGTGCCTGATTTACCCTGAAATAAAGAAACTCCAGACTATCTGTTATGCCCTGTGTGCTTTACTTTGGTCAAGGTCTACCTGTTAGTGGCCACACAAGAAACAAATATTTGTTAAAGCTGTTCACTCTGATTTAGCACCTTTATATGGCCAGAAAAGAAATGTTATTTCACCCAGTTACTGCCATGAACCAAAAGCTGTTTTAATTGAGTTAGAGGAATTTACTGAAAACAGATTAACTGGAATTGACAGTGTTTACTCACTATCTCTTTCAATGATTGATTTAAAATTGTGAAAAAAGGAGCCTTAAGATAAAGCTTTCCTTTTTAGAAGAAAATAAAACAAAATCAGACAACCCCGGGAGCAAACATTTCAAAATAAGACAGGAAACATGGGAGACAAAGGTGAGAAGCTAGAGGGGAAATACACACCGCAAATACATTAACACACAGGGTAAGAAACCCATGAAAGAGCAACCAAAATTCATCACAACATAAAGGATAAAACACATATGAAATGGCAAGTGAAATACATAGAAGAAGTCTGGTCCTGCTCAAAGTTTCTGCCTGTTAAAGGGATTTTTTTTCCTCTCCACCATAACTTGCTAAATACTGCAAAGTGCTTTACTGTTGGTTTCAGAGGGGTCAAATCTTTTCTCATCTTAAGGTTGGGTCTTTGTAACAAACATCTTTGGATAACGAGTGTTGTGATATGGTGCTGTATAAATAAAAAATGATTGATTGATTGATTGATTGATTGATTGATTGATTGATTGATTGTCTAAATCTCTCTTAGGGGTTTAAAGAAGAGCATTCTTCAAGACACAAACGAAGGACACTACAAAATTAAAGACAGTAAAAAAAACGAGGCATTCAATTCTACTTTATATTCTATAATTACAAATGATATGGATGTACAACTTATGTGGCAGCATTTGTTATTACACTAACACAAGAACACAGCTTAATATAATTTTAGGAATAGATCCTCATTCAAAAGCCAACAGCCTCTTTACGATCTCATACATGATCTTCAACTGCTCGTTAGTATTAATCAGGATTTGTAATGACACAAGATAATTCTTTATTTCATTCTTGAAAAGAATAATTGAAGGTTTGTGGTTCTTTTATTTGCAAATGTGGATACGACATTTTCCCATAATTTTAATTATGTTTACCATAGAAGAATTTCTTTTTTATTTTACTATGTGAAGTGGTCTCAGTGGTCTTTAAATTGTGATTATGAAGTTATTAGCCAAAATCACATTACCTGTGTCATTTTCAAGGGCTTTTCTTCTGTAGAGCTCCACTGGCTCATTAGTAATTCACCTCTGAGTCGTGGGTGGAGACAGCTCTGCAGACTCCTCTTTGCTAGCTTGTAGCCTAATTTTGCCAGTGTAGTAGAAGTAGCAAGTGAAATAGGAGCTATTCAGTTCTCGGGGCATGATGAACGCTATCGTAATTAGCTTTCTTATGTGCATTACAATCTGCTAACCCATATGCTTGTTCTGCGACCCACTCTGATGAAAACAGAGTGGGTCTTTAAATATAATCATTGTATAGTAGCATCTGCTGTTCTTCAGAAGTGCTAACATTTTCAATTTTGATGCTCAGCCACTTGAGTTAATATTTCTGTCTTATTTAACATTTCTGAGTTCTTCTGTCCTCACAGGGGAAAAAGCATAGACTGTATGTAGAAAGGACGCCGTCTGCCTTCTTGCTGGGTGCAGGCCACTCCGAGAACAGCACCCTCTGGTGACAGGCTGCAGTATAGGTCATAAATTTGCCTCCTCCAGCAATCCATATAGAGTTGTAGACAAACTTTAGAAATTTATTACACAGAATATTATTTTTTCTCCCCCCTGATTGCAATGTTGACATGTAGTTACTGCCAGACTGGTTTGTGCTCAAGTCCTCTTTTTTCTGTACAGCTCCATTTTTAGATGTTATTAGGGGGCTCATGTTTTCTATGATTGACACTTGATACAGCCTATGGGTGTACAAAGATTGTGTAGCTCACCTGGGGGATACACTGTTTGAGCAGAGCGTCATTAAGTGGTGAAATGCATACAACGCTACTGTGAAAGTGGTTCCAGGAAGTGGAGAAAATCCCGTAATTATCGAGAGCAATTCGGCTTCAAATTTGCATAATGGCGGAAGGCGGAGCCAAGTTGTCTGTAGTACATACTGTCTATGTGGAAAAGGACATTAGGACCATGTGTCAGAACAAAATGTTTGGATATCTACTGACGACACATTAAGAAAAATAACTGACAATTCAATACAAGAAAAATAATAGTTTCACAACAACACAAGGACAACTAAACTGAGACTAAGACACAAAACACAGGGGAAAACTAAGTGAGTGATTGATAACTGTGAGTGAACTTGTCACTATAGCTATATTCAAGAGTATCTATTCAGTCAGGGGATAAAATAACAAGACTCCTTAATGACAGCCTCAGTCTGGTAGTTTTCCCCCCTCTACACATAAAATATATTACCCAGTATTGGCAGATTTCTTTTGGCATTGCACGTTTGGGTTCATTCATCAACAATAAAAAGCAGTTGGAACACAAACTAACATATCTCCTCTAACATCGAGGCACCAGCAGAACACTGTTGCCTGAAACTTCAGTTTTTTTGCAACTTCACTTGGGGAGCTTTTCCCCCCCAAGTCCTCATGACAAGACCATTGTGGTTTATGTGCAACTACCATTATTTTCGCTCAGCCCCACGCTTTCGAAAACAAGTCCTGCAGTCATGTTAGTCAAGTCATATTAGGAATGGAACATATGGCAAACTTTACCAGATGTATGTATGTATTCCCTCACAAAAAAAACAAAACAAACAAACAAAAAAAAAACCAAGTCTTTCCACTGTATCTATGATGATATCCATTTACCTTAAGGATCTCATTTGGTTGTTTCAGTGCACTTTCCCTTTCCCTGGTCGCTGAGGCTGAGTGAGACTCCACACCTGCACTGCATCTGCAATCAAGGCCCTTTAAGAAGCCAGCAGCCAGCAGCCCTCAGTCTCAGCGCCTGAGTATTGTCTTCACTCCCAAGTGGTACAGACGCTTCTCCCGGCCTTCTCCTCAGCTAAGTGCCAGTAATTTTGCTCCCTGTGATTCCTTGTATGTCTTCTCACCTCCTTCTCCTCTGCTTCTCAACAGTGTCTCCAGCCCACACAACAGCCAGCCAGCCAACCGGACTTTCTCTTGGGCCTTTTTTCCTTGAGTTGGACAATGCATCTTTAGTTTGCAATCTGCCTCTGTGTCTGCTTCTGGGTCCACCAGATACACCACACGCCACAGAATACTCAGGCCAGGAAAATGGACCCAGCAGACCCAGACAGAGACCAACAAGCCGTCCAAAAGCTAGGACTTCGCCTCGGTCAACATGAGGACATGTTCCAGGGCCTCAACCAAGCCTTTCAAGGCCTCACCGTCCAAGTTGCACAACTGGCGGATCAACTCCTCTCCCGGCCACCCCCGCAGCAATCTGGGCATTTCCCCTCTGTGAGTACGGCCCCCTCTTCACCCTCTCCTGTCTTCAAAGAGCCTTATGTCCTTCCTCCCGAGCCGTATGCTGGGGAGATTGGGGGCTGCAGAGGTTTCCTGCTCCGCTGTGCCCTTGTCTTTGATCAGCAGCCTATGAGTTACCCCTCGGATAAACCCAAAATAGCCTACACTGTCAATCTGTTAAGAGGCAAAGCCGCTAAGTGGGCTACTGCCATTTGGGAAAAGGATTCGCCGATGTTGTCCTCATACGCCAGATTCACTGAGGAACTTCGCAAGGTGTTTGATTATCCTGTCGAGGGTCCCGAATGTACTAAGTGGTTGTTTTTCCTCATTCAGGGCTCTCAGTCTGTGGCGGAATTCTCTATTGAGTTTCGCACAGTGGCGGCCGAGAGTGGGTGGGGGGAACTAGAGTTAAAGGGGGTATTTTCTCGTTGTCTGTCCAAACAGTTAAAGGACAAATTAGCTGCTCATGACGAGCCATCCTCACTCGAGGAGTTAATTTCATCAGCCATATGTGTGGATAATCGCCTCAGGGAGAGACGTAGGGAGAAGAAACCAAACACTCCTCCCCATAGTTTAGATTCCTCATCCTCCTCCACTTTCAGCGGGTCTCCTCTGCAGCCCTCAGCTCCTCTGGCTCCGGCGCCCTCAGCTGGAGAACCCATGCAAATCAGCCACACCTCCTCTACTTCCAGCTCTCCCAGACGTATCTCTGTACTGCCTGTCTCCTGTGGGGGAAAGGAGCCACGTCGCTCCAGACCCTTATTGACTACGGGGCGGACACAACTTCATTCAAGCTGGGTTGGCGGCACGGCTACAGCTCCCCCTGGAGGCACTCCCTGCCCCCAGTAAGGTCACCGCTCTTGATGGCAGGGTTATAGCCACCATAACCCACTGCACTACTCCTCTCACCCTCATCCTTTCGGGAAACCATCGTGAGGACATCCAGTTGTTCCTGCTTCCCTCTCCGCATTCACCCCTTGTGCTTGGACTCCCGTGGCTGCAGATCCACAATCCCCAAATCAACTGATCCACAGCTTCAATCTCCGACTGGAGTCCTCACTACCACTCTCATTGCCTCCGCTCCGCCCCTGTGCTCAAGCACCCGGATCCCTCTCTCCAATTTGTGGTGGAGGTCGATACCTCGGACTCCGGAGTGGGGGCCGTCCTCTCACAGGGGGATCCCGAGACCCAGAAACTCCATCTTTGCGCCTACTTCTCCCAGAAATTCTCACCCACCGAATGAAAATATGACGTGGGAGACTGTGATTTGCTGGCTGTTGTGTGGGCACTCCAAGAATGGAGACACTGGCTGGAACACAACACCCATTCCTCATCTGGAATGACCTCAAGAACGTTCAGTACCTCTGTTCCACTCAACGCCTCAACTCCAGGCAAGCCCGCTGGTCCCTCTTCCTCCACAGATTCACTTTCACCCTCTCCTATCGTCCCTGCTCCCGCAACCTCAAACCTGAAGCCCTATCCCGGATCTACTCCTCTGCTACCTCGGACCCCAGAGAACTGGACACCATCCTCCCTGCCTCCTGTATCATTGGCTCTGCCTCTTGGGGGATTGACACTGTGGTGGACAAGGCCCTCCGGAAGCACCCGGACCCTGGAACTGGCCCTCCTGATAGGAAGTTCGTCCCCGAGGTTGCATGTTCTCAGGTCCTACAGTGGGGGCACTCCTCTAAACTCACCTGTCACCCCGGAGTTCAACGCACCCTCCAATTCCTTCAGCGGCGATTCTGGTGGCCAGGGATGGTATGGGTCGTATGGGCGTTTGTGGCTGCCTGCTCTGTCTGTGCCCGAGGCAAAGCCTTCCACCAACCTCCGGCTGGCTTGCTGCATCCCCTGCCTGTGCCCTCACGCCCTTGGTCTCATATAACTCTAGATTTCGTCACTTGTCTCCCCCCTTCTGAAGGTAACACAGTCATACTCACCATCATACAGGTGTTCCAAGTTCGTGCATTATGTCCCTTTACCTAAGCTCCCCTCTGTTCTAGGAACTGCTGATCTCCTAGTATCTCATGTGTTCCAACTTCATGGTATCCCCCTTGACATAGTGTCAGATCGTGGTCCCCAGTTCTCCTCCCAGGTCTGGAAAGCTTTCTGCCAGGCAGTGGGCGCGGCAGCTAGCATCTCCTCGGGCTACCACCCGCAGACCAACGGCCAGACGGAGCGGGCCAATCAGAACGTTGAGTCGGATAAAAAATAATTAAAATAATTTTTAAAAAAAATAAAAAACCTCGAGTCGGCTTTGCGGTGTATTGCGGCCCATCATCCAGCATCCTGGAGTACACACCTCCCATGGATCCAGTACGCCCATAACTCCCTTACCTCCTCGGCCACAGGTATGTCTCCCTTCATGTGCTGTTTTGGGTACCAGCCCCCCCTGTTTCCCGAACAGGAGCACCTGGTGGCCATCTCCCTGATCAAGCCTGTCACCTTGTGCACCCTTGAGCCTGCTGATCTCCTAGTATCTCATGTGTTCCAACTTCATGGTAACCCCCTTGACATAGTGTCAGATCATGGTCCCCAGTTCTCCTCCCAGGTCTGGAAAGCTTTCTGCCAGGCAGTGGGCGCGGCAGCTAGCCTCTCCTCGGGCTACCACCCGCAGACCAACAGCCAGATGGAGCGGGCCAATCAGAACGTCGAGTCGGATAAAAAATAATGAAAAAAAAAAAACTCGAGTCGGCTTTGCGGTGTGTTGCGGCCCATCATCCAGCATCCTGGAGTACACACCTCCCATGGATCCAGTACGCCCATAACTCCCTTACCTCCTCGGCCACAGATATGTGTCCCTTCATGTGCTGTTTTGGGTACCAGCCCCCCCGTCACCTTGTGCACCCTTGAGCCCTCCTTCCCGGATGATTGACGACCAACCTGCTTTCACTGTGAGACAAATCCTGGACGTGCGACCTCGGGGACGAGGCTTCCAATACCTCGTGGATTGGGAGGGTTATGGTCCAGAGGAGTGATCCTGGATCTCCCACTCCCTCATTCTGGACCATCAACTCCTCGACGAGTTCTACGCTTCCCACCCCAACAAACCCGGCAGAAAGCCAAGAGGCGTTCGTTGAGAGGGGGGTACTGTGCTGAGATGCCTCTTCTTCCTGTTTTATTTTGGTGTAACTTCCTGTTTTCCTTTTGTTCCTGGTCTGGCTTGACTGTTGTTTTAGTGCACTTTCCCTTCTCCCAGTCGCTGAGGCTGAGTGAGACTCCACACCTGCACTGCATCTGCAATCAAGGCCCTTTAAGAAGCCAGCAGCCAGCAGCCCTCAGTCTCAGCGCCTGAGTATTGTCTTCACTCCCAAGTGGTACAGACGCTTCTCCCGGCCTTCTTCTTGGCTAAGTGCCAGTAATTTTGCTCCCTGTGATTCCTTGTATGTCTTCTCACCTCCTTCTCCTCTGTTTCTCAACTGTGTCTCCAGCCCACACAACAGCCAGCCAGCCAACCGGACTTTCTCTTGTGCCTTTTTTCCCTGAATTGGACAATGCATCTTTAGTTTGAAATCTGTCTCTGTGTCTGCTTCTGGGTCTACAAGATACTTCACATGCCACACCCCCCTGCTTATGATTAAGGTGCCACCATTGCTGATAGTTGTATTGTAAGAAATGTAGGCTATAAAGGGTTGCTACCGTTGTTATGCACAGTCTTAGTTTGAGATCATTGCAAAATGATTTGTCATTAATAAGCCTTGACCACATGTGGACCCCCTGTTGTCGTTGTTCTTGTTTTTAAATGAAATGAATAGTTTCACACATATAAATAACTTTTTTCTGTTTTGTTCCTCTCAACCGTGTTACAGATTCTGGAGTGATCCAGTTCAACAACATGTCAAGGCACAGCACTGGTCTTTAGATGGTATTACTAAAATAGAAGAGTGTTTCACCCTTTTTCCTGTAGTTCAACAGTAAACTGTTTCACCCTTTTTTTTCCTGTAGTTCAACAGTAAACTGGATCTGAAACTCTTGGATTAGGTTTTTCTTGCAGTTTGATAGTCAAGTATTCAATGATGTTCAATCATAATTCACAAAGCCAAAATATTAACACTTTTTATTTTATGAGTCCTTGAAATGTGTCAACATTCACAGTGGGAGGGTGTTGGCTCTTTCTTCAAAAGCTGTTTCTCTGCAATCAGATCTAGTTCCAGGCTGAGAAGTCTATCCTTAAAAAAACATGTATGTAGTTGAGTTCATATTTCTAACTCTGTTCTGACACAGAAAAATGTTCATACAATCAACCCAAATCAATAAGCTTCAGGAACTCAAAAAAGTGCATAGAGCTGCAACAGTTAAGTCCATAGCTGAAGCCCCAACCTCCCAACCCCGAATACTTTGTACACTCCGTGCCTGAAGACTGGATACTGGACTTCTGCCATCCTGCACTGGGATTGCCAAAAAAGCCAAGAACAAATGGGTCCCTTAAGATTTCTGTTGAGCAATAGAGGCAATATGCCATCAATCCAACCGTATAAATACTGAGGGTGTCAGTTTCCCCCATAAGTCTTACAGCTCACCCACCTCTGCTAAACAATGCTTCACCTCAGCTCCACTCTCTGTGAGTATACTAATGACCACAGGAAAAGAGATTTTATTCAGATTTTTCTCTAAAGGAGACAAGCATCCATTTACCTCTCCGAAAGTTTTGTGGATTTAAGTTGACTCATTTCGGTATCAGTAAAAGTTACATGTTTTATGTCTGACTTGCAATTCAACTGTGCTGTTTTTTTTCAGTGTCAGCAACAGCCTGTCCTCTTGTGAGTGCAGGTAATAATAAATCATAAAATAATTATAAATATTAACATAAAATACCATTATAAATATACATCTTAAATAAATATGAAGATGCAGAAACACATTCTCACTTCTGTGCTTTTGTGTTTAGCAAATGCTTTTCCAGGTTCCCCCATATACACAGTTACTACCTGTGAGGGCAACAATATCCACCGCCTGAGCTGTGGTATGACTTGATTTCCAAAATGTATCAATTAGAAATCAACAAAAGTGTCTCCATATATATATATATATATGAAGAGAGAGAGAGAGAGAGAGAGAAAGAGAGTTTAAAGAAAATGAATAGTTCCACACAAGAATAACGTTTTTTCTTTTAATTTCTTCCTCTCTGCTGTGTTACAGATTCTGGAGTGATTAGTATTCAGACAACACTTTATGGACGTGCAGACACTGTGACCTGCAGTGAGGGAAAATCTCCACAACAGATTGCTAACACCAAATGTTTGCTGTCAGATGGGAGGGATGTCCTCAAGAGACGGTACACACTGAGAGTTTATGGCTTACGTACTTGAGGACAAAGATGAGTCAGAGACCGGCTCTGCTACATGGAGCAACATAAGTTCTATGTTTTACATGACTAGACTACCATTACGTATAATTAAGTTTCAGTTTTCTCTCTAATTCTAAAAATCAGATTTTAACCAAAGTTCATAATTAAACAACAAATCAGAGCTGACCTTTGTGAAAAAAACAAAAACAAAGAAAAACAGAAAGCAGCTTCAGGAGCAGGTTTTTCACCTTGTGCTTCCATGTTTAGAGCATGGCTGTCTTTGAAAAAAAACCCAGCTGTACTTTATATACAGTGAAATTTGTGTTGTTTGAAGTTGTTGAGTTATTTAAAACTGTTGATTGTATTTTGGTTTTGAAGAGATTCTGCCTGAACCATGCTTTTTGTCTTCTTATTGCAGATGCGATGGAAAAATGGTGTGTGAACTGAGCCCTACTGACCTCAGTGAACCTGATTCATGCAGTGGCACCTACAAATACCTTAAGACAGGGTATATCTGTCTTCCAGCAAGTAAGTCATATGTCTGAAATTCATTCTTTCATCTTCGAGATCACAGATGATGTTCAAATTCTTGTTTGACATAAGGGAAATACTGTATGTGCATGTGTACTGCATTACCTACTGGGGGAACATCCTGTACAAAAAGAAGTTCTAATCAATTTTCACCTTACTAAGCTTGACTCCAGATGTGTATGGCTTTGGCTTTGTGCTTGGATCATCTGTAATGATCCTAGCAGAGGTGTTGTCACAATGTACCACAGAATCCCTCTCCACTTTCAAAGGACAGCTGAAGACCCGGCTCTTTGAAGAACTGAGCTAGACAAGTCTCCACTGTTGACCCCCATGGTAGAATGATTCTTTCAGCTACAGTTGGCTCACAGTGTCCTGTTCTACTCCTGGGATTTTTGTGCCCAGCTCTTTCTGAGTAACCCTGCACTTGGTCCTTTGGTCATGATCATTGTGAAGACAATTTAACTGACGGTGATGATGACAGATCTTAAATAATTAAATATTTAAATATATAATTCATTCATTCATTTACTGCTGTGCATTACCTTCAGTGCTGCTTGGCAGTACCTGTTGCTCTTACTGATCTTGTTTCCTTTTGCATAGATCTTTGCTTTGCTTGTGTTGTTCTTGTTCTCGTACGTACATCGCTTTGAATAAAGTGTCTGCCAAATGACATTGTAACATTGTAACAATGTGTTATGGGCAGCTGTGGCTCAGTCATGGAGTTGGTTGACTTCTAATATGAAGGTTGGTGGTTCAATCCCAGCTCTGCAAGCCATATGTAAAAATGTCCCTAGGCAAGACACTAAACCCCAAATTTCTCCTGGTGACATAGTTGATGGTGTGAAAATGTGTATGAATGGAGATTAGTCAATACTGATGGTTCCCTACTATGTTTGCCATGAGTCTATCATATGATGTGGAGTGGTAAATGTGACAAGTAGTGTAATAACCATACACTGTATATAGAATTGACGTCATCTGCCTTCTCGTGAAGCCTCCAGGAGAACAGCATTCTCCATTTTTAAAACTTATTAGGGGGTTCATGTTTTCTATGATTGACACTTGATACAGCCTATGGGTGCACAAAGATTGCGTAGCTCACCAGGGGGATATGCTGTTTGAGTAGAGTGTCATCACAGTGACTTTCCCGCTACTACTTAAATGCCAGTTTCAGGAAATGGAGAAGATCCCAGAAATCCCGAGAGCCTTTTGGCTTCAACTCATACAATGATGGGAGGGGGAGTCAAGTTGCCCATACTATTTAGAGGTTATGGTCTTAACCCCTTTAGGGTCTGGGAAGACTGGATAAACCCTTTTAAGCCCATTTACTCAATCCCATATTGAGCTATAATGTATTATTTCTATGATCTGCTGAATACCATAAAAAGGCAATGTATTATTTGAACAGAAATGCAGAATGCAATATGTAAGGGACAAAAGGTTAATTTATGGTAAATCTTATTTCACAGCTCACCTTGTAACATGCGAGCACTCCTCAGCAAATATGCAATGTGGTAAGACCTCATATTTTCTTCTTTGTGTGTTTAATGCGTTCACTAGAGAAACAGGCATAACTGTATTTAATGGCTCCTGAGCATCAGCACTGCTTAACAACCTTTTCTCCTCCCAGGGGGAGGACAGGTCATATTTGTTTACGGTGCTCATTATGGACGTGTTGACCATAGCACCTGCTCCTACAGACGACCTGCTACTCAAATTGAAAATGTCTACTGCTCAGTGCCAGCTACCAAAGTTTCTGAAAGGTAAAAGAAACACCTCACACCAGTGTTTCCGCTGAAATTGAATTCATGGTGTATTTCACTTTATTACTCCACTACATTTTGTAATTACTACACAATTTACTTTCATCTGCTCTCACAGCCACCCAGATTGCAAGTGATTAAGCACACATTAAAAGTGGTATTCACTCTGTTTTCCTTACCTCCTCAGCTGCAATGGAAAGAACAGCTGTGTGATTAAAGCCAGCAACTCAGAATTTGGAGACCCCTGTGTGGGAACCCACAAGTACCTGGAAGTGGCGTATGTATGTGAATGTAAGTGACTTGAGATACGGAGATACAGGGAATCTTTGTAGCTGCTTGGGGTGATCTTTGCGGCATTGATTAAAATAAGCTTATTGTCTTATCTCAAGTTTTTAAAGTGAACCTGAACTGTTTTTTTTACTTGGAAAAAAGGTTGTTTCTGTGCTATAATGATATAAGTGGTACTGTTGTTGTCACCCTTCAGCCACTTATGCATGTACAGAATCTCTGAGTTGTGTCTTTTTCTTGTTTTGCAGTTCTTGGGGGCCCTCTTACTGCATCTTTTAAAACAGAAGAAACACAGGATATGCAATAAGATCACTGTAAGATTAATTTAAAAACAATGCAGTGTGCACCTTGTCAGTATTTGATTTGACATCTTTGATTTTATGTTTTTTCTAATAAATACTGAATATAAAAGCAGAAAAGGTTGCACAAGTCAAGCGTCATGATGACTATTAGATCAGGAATATCAAGTTGAGCTCCATTACCATGACTCAGGTCATTCTGGACCTTCTGAAAGAGAAAAATGACAATAGGTGCTTGAGAGTTTTCCAGGAAGTTTAGAGAGGAAAAAACATTGCAACATAACATTTGTGTGTCATTTCTCGGTTCTCACGCCAAGCTGTAGAAAAAAGGCCTCTGATTTCCTGGTCCTTGAGGAAAATCATAAGACAGTATGTGACATATTATTTCATTTTTTTCATGAAAATGATGCAACAGCTCAGAAATGATTTGTCTGACATTAGACACAAGGACCACATTAATATGTTACAATGGATGCAATGTGAGCCACTGGTTAGATAAAATGACTGTACCACCAGCTTCTCAAGTTGTCTCAAACTATAAGAGAGAGGCCAGTCCCAGAACCGAGAATTGAAAGATGTGTGGGCCAGAGAAATGTGCAAGGCTGCAAAATCATCACAAAGAGTTGATAGCATCAGCACTGAATAACCAGGACTTTATTTGTTAAATATCCTTCCTTTTGTGTGAGTATTGCAAAGCCCAGTGTCATCTCTGTTTCGTATGTCTTGTCTTGTGCTGTTTTTGTTATGGGTCAACTTGTTGTGAAATCTTTTCTTTTTTTTTGTCTGACTGCTCATCACCACAGTCCACAAGCAGGAAATTGTTGTCCTCTTCAACAACGACAGACAATGAAGGAAATACCCTGGTTTTAATTATGTTTACTTAATACACAGATAGGGGTCAGTTGCACAATGTCAAGCTATTGTTAAACCAGGAAGCAGCAGTTCTAGGTGTAACAGCATAAATTCAGGTGTTTTGGATTCAGTCACCATCAGTCCTCTCTTCAGCCCAGACCAGATTTTCTTGCAGTTATGCTCCACTCAAGACTAAGCAGTCTACTGTGTAAGTACAACTATGACCAGTGCTAGTGAACATTTGATTTTAACATAGCTCAGAATGAAACTGGATTTTGTATTTTTGCAGAAGAGTTGTAAAGCATTGACATATCTTATCAAAGTGTACTAGTTTGATTTATGTTTATATATTACAGTATTATGATACATTATATAAAGAGGCTTTGTCATACTGTATGTCAACGCAAATCTGCTCTTACTAATATATTAAAGTCAGTTACATAAATATTTTCCTGTCCAACAATCTTTTTTTTCTAAAATGGATTTATTAATCAGTGCATTTCCTATTCTTTTTTTTTTTTTTTTTTTTTTTTAAGTCAATTTGGTCTTTGTAATACGTCAAACAAAGAGTTTGGTCTAAACCTGCTCTTTTGGAAAGCGTCTTGCGATAACAATTTTTGTGATTTAACGCTAGAGAATAAAAATTTAGTTGATTGATTGATTGGATTTGTTTCACTTCTACTTAAACATATTAGGGAAACTGTGTAAGACTGCTGAAAGTACTCTATGTCAGCCCCACAGATCACTTTAGCTGTCATATTAGACCCAGATGCCGCTAATGTTTGTTTGGATAAAGCTATCTTGAACAATGGGAATCTTCCTACCTTTCTTGTTTAAAAAAGTTTTTTTAACATATTGACTTTACATTATTTAGTAGGTAAAAGGGAGATAAAGTAAGATGCCACATTTATAAGTAATTTATATTGACTTGCGGACAAAAGCTTCTGTTTAGTGCAAGTTTGAGATACATTTAAGTCGTTCACAATTTGGGTAATACTATTTGACTTTTTTCTTCTGCAGTGTTTGCAGCAACATGTTTGCTGCCCATGATGTCAGGTAAGCATCTGAGTGAATATGAAATGTTATTGCTTTTATTTCTGTGTGGTGTTTTGAACCTCCTCAGCTGATATTTTAAAACCTCCTTTTTTCAGTTATCTCCATGGAGAGCGTTGTCACCTGTGATAATGCCAACGACGTCCAGCGCCTGAGCTGTGGTATGAATAAACGTAGTTGTATTTCCCAGTTGAAAAGTCTTGGTAAACTTACTCAGTGCTTGTTTCTTGTTAAAAGAGGACCAGTCAGGAAGTATTAGCCAATGAAAGTTTACGCTCAATGCAGTGTGTAACTTGTCAGTTTTTAAATTGGGATCTTTGATTTTACGTTTTTGCTAATAAATACCGAATATAAAAGCAGAAAAAGGTTGCACAAGTCAAGCTGTCAAGCTTCATGATGACTATCAGATCAGGAATATCAAGTTGAGCTCCATTACCATGACTCAGGTCATTCTGGTCCTCCTGAAAGAGAAAAATAACAATAGGTGCTTGAGAGTTTTCCAGGAAGTTCAGAGAGAAAAAAACATTGCAACATAACATTTTAGTTCAGGCTCATTTATCATGTCTGAACTTAACTGAACAATACACCATCCCCTCAAAGTTTAACCTTGGGCTTTGGTCTTGGTTCTTACTTTTTGCATTTGTGTGCATTAGACAATGGAGTGATCAGTGTGCAGGCAGCACTCTATGGGCGTAAAAACAGGATGACCTGCAGCAGAGGAAGACCTCAAGAACAGCTTTCCAATACAGAGTGCACCCAGGAAGGCACAGCGGATATCCTCAAGAGAAGGTACACATGATATATTACACATATAATACTATAATATCAGTTGTCACTGCATAATTCTGGGTGTGGAAGTTGTTGCATAGATGACCTAACTTTTATAGTTAGATCATCTATGTCACTGGGCTTAAAAATGAATCATCTCAAGTGTAGTACTCAAGCAGATCTCAAGGAGGGCCTTTGTATATCAACTCAGACAGGATACGGTTGTATATTCTGAAATACTTGTGCACCTTAACAGTGTAATGCATGGACATGTCTCAGTGACGTCACCCATTAGTATTGAAGCTGGGCATGGGTGCTACATTAGAAATGCAGATCCCAACCTAAATTTCTACAGTTTGCCAAACACAATTCACCAAAAGATTCACTTTACTTACAGTGCATGCCATGAGAGAACTGAACCCTCCGGAGTAAATCATTTTTTAAATAACCAGACTGTAAACACATGTATTTACTCTCATTGAATTACATAGTATTTGGCTAAATCATCAAAATGTATTTGTGGGATAACCATTATGGGCTCTATTTTGGTGCCTTGCCGGAGACGTGCCGCAAACGCAGCGTCAGTCAGATCCGCCGCGCTGACAAGGCGTTCCCAAGCACATTTTGGTATTTTGGTGAGCCGTGCAGCCCGGCGTAAGTATCCCCCCTCCCTAACTCGGCTCCTCCCAGCACCATAAGTCATAGATGGGGAGGAGAGAGGGCGTGTAGTGGGTTTAACACAGCCGAGACCTGTTTTCACCAATCACATAAGCTCCTCTCCTTGCCTTTAAATCCGCCACAGGCGAGGCGTATTACTATTTTCATGAAGTAGTCAAAGAGATCAAGAGATGTCTTAAGACAGTAATGCCACAAGATGGCGACAGAGGGCAGCTCCTCAACAAGTGTCCTCCACACCCTCTCATATAAGCACAGATGGATTTGGTGTGTGTAATGTTGGACCCAGTGGTAAGACAAACACCCTTTTCCACAAATAAAGACACTCACATAAAGTTGCATATATTCAAACCTCACGTGACAAAGGTGGGTTGAGCGCACAGATCACAACATTAACTCCAAAAATGGCATTAAAATCGGAACCATCTGTGCGTAAATGACGCATCGCGCTCCGTGACCTGGCTCTTTCTTTCATAGATGTTGGCATATAAAATAAATTTGGCCCACAAAACTGAATATTATAATATCCGTATGTCGGCTTAAAGTAGATCACGCATCTGAGCACTGAAACAAATCATCTGTTCAGCCGCAGCAGCAGCAAGACGGACAGAGGACACGGAGACGTGTCCAGGTCGAGCTGTGCGAGAAATAAGAGGAAGAGGAAGAAAGAAAAGGAGGGAGACGAATTACATATCTTGTTAACTTCATCATGTGTGTATATTTACTAGATATTTAATTTAATTTGATGCGGTTCCAGCTGTGTTGATTCGGTCATCAGATCAGATATAGATCAGAATATATCAATATAGATCTAAATGTATGTGCTGACTCAGATTAATAGTTGATGATGATTATTTATTGGACTGAAATTTGCCTGACACTGTGGAAACCTGCCGGTGAGGCATCAGTGACGTATGTTGATACGCCGCCGGTCTACCAAAATACTACTGGACCAGCTGCGTTCCGCCTTGCGCTGAAAGCTGACCAGGTTTGAATCGGCGAGCTTTCAGCGCACTTTACACGCCGGTGGCGAGCACGAAAATGTCACTGCGCCAGCTGATTCTGTCGACACCTCCCCCTGCCACGCCACCACGCCCAGCTTGGCGGATCTCGGCTCGCCTCCGTGCGGCTCAGTCCACGAAAATACCAAACTGGCCTTACGCCGGGCTCCGCCAGACGAAAATACAACTGCGCGGGGCTCGCCGCCCTCCGCCGCCTCACTGGCGCGCACGAAAATAGAGCCCAAGATGTTTATGTTTATATGCTGTATGTTGCATGTTCTGTTTCTCATTTGGTGAGACTCCAAAATGAGGATCCAGTCTCTTTCCATACTTTTGCTCTGGATAACTGAGTAGTGGATGTGTGAAACACATTTTATGTGAAGCAGAAACATGACAAATAAAGAAATCTGAATCTGACTGAAAGTATTGGATCAAGGACAGACTGCTGAAGAACCCCTATAGCAAAAATTACCATTTACCTCTCCTTGAAGTGCAACTTAAATCAAACTATGGGTTACAACAGAACTTATCCCAGGGTTGTTTTGTTTGATGTACTCACAAGGTACTTGTGCTTTTAGAAGCGAAATAAGTGAAGAGACCCATTGAAGCCTTCCATAGGCAAATGGCTCCTTACTGTAAGTCCCCCACAACATGAGATAGATGGGGACAAATGGAAAACTAGAGCCAGTAAGTTTCTAGGGTAATCAAGCTGACACCTTTCTTTGCCTGCGTTTCTAAGTCAGGTCAAGTGAAGGCTCAGCAGTGAACCCGTCATATCCACAAGCAGTACCTCTATATGTTGGCTACTGCCCACATGCATAGTTTTGATCTGTGCTTAACACATGCTTTTATCACTTGCCTACAGGTGTGACGGCAAGATGGTGTGTGAGTTTAACACAGACATTGTCCGTACCTCTGATCCCTGTGTTGGTATCTACAAATACCTGGAAACCAACTTCACCTGCCTCCCAGCAGGTTGGTCACGTCTTTGCACCAAACGATCAATAAAACAACCTGCCACTTCTATCTTGTGATGTCTTAGATGTTCCTCGATCCTTTTTAAAATCTAGGGGAGATAGAGCATTTTCTGTCATGGCTCCCACTTTGTGGAACGCTTTACCCCTTACAGTGCGCACTGCTAACAGCCTTTCCTCTTTTAAAACACTTCTGAAGACGCACCTGTTCACTTTAGCTTTTGGGGAAGTATAGCTACTTTTATTGGGTATTTTATTTATGTGCTATGTTTATCTATATTGTTGTTTTATGTTTTATGCTTTTATAGTTTTTATAGTTTTTACTGTCTCTGGCTATTTTACTGTAAAGCACTTTGGTAAGCCACTGGCTGTTTTTAAATGTGCTATATAAATAATGCTGACATTGACATTGACATGTCTAATGTGATTCATATGTGTTCTTCAACAGTCCATCTTACTACCTGTGAGCACTCCTATGCACATTTGTATTGTGGTAGGTTCCTCTTTCAAAATTAGTTGCACAAAATCTTAACAGAAAATGTTTTACAACTTGGGTTGGTTGCTTTTTACACCACACCTGTCTTGCCAAATTTCCTTCCTGTTTCTTCCCAGATGAAGGGCAGGTCATAAATGTCTATGGCGCTGACTATGGACGTCGTGATCCGACTACATGCTCTTATAAAAGGCCTGCCTCTCAGGTTGAAGATGTTACCTGTTCACTTCCCACAAACAAGGTTGCTGATAGGTATGGTTGCCAACTCTTTTCCAACTTATATGCAAGGTTGAACTAAAAAATGCAAGATAAGACTTTGTGGTTATCTCACAACCTAATTAATGTCACCCCAATTTTACTCTACATCCACAGCTGCAATGGGAAGAACAGCTGCATGGTGAAAGCCAGCAACTCGGTCTTTAATGACCCCTGCGTGGGCACTTACAAGTACCTGGAAGTGGCATATGTATGTGAATGTAAGTGGTTTGAATCAGTCAAAACTGTTTCATGGTGTGGAATGGAGTGATATGCAAGTGATTGCTTACACAACAATCTTTGCAGCAGTATATTAAAAGATGTGATAAATTATTCACACTCTCTATTAAAGAATCAGTAATAACCTGGTGTGACTGTATTTTTTCAGTTCTTCTATTTTTGTAACCAGTCACATTTTTCTGACCCAAAGCTTTTATTTTTCCCAAACAGATCCTGTAAACGCTCCAGGGGATTCTGAACACATGATGGAATAATGATACTACTGAGCTGTGCTCATTCAATGACATTAAATCAACACCATACATCCTGTCAATGTATGTAACATGTATCTAAAGGAATTACAATGAATTACAAAAACATAACAAATCTTCAATAAATCTCATTTAGTCTTCATCGGTCTTTTGTTGTTTATTTGTATAGTCTTACAAGCATGGGTCTTGTAATTCTTTTGAAGAGTTTAGTATTGTGCTGATAGGAATATGACACAAACCGTTACATAAGTGCTATGGACTCTGTTACATGTCAAGCACACAGTTTTTTAATGCAGAGCTGCTCTATATTTATTGCATCAATATTTGCGCAAATTCTCAAAAGAATTCAACAAATTTAAAATGAACCTAGATCATCTGATTTTAGGACTCATGTGACAATGCTGCTGTACTCGATTAATTTCGAATGAAAGATAAGTCAATGAAGTAATTTAGAGTTCAACTTTACAAATTCAGCTTCATTACCATCAAAGTTACAGAGGAAATATAATCTGCAGCAGGCATCAACAGACAGAGATAAAAAAAAAACCAAGATGATTTTACAACACTGAACCAGAGACTCAAATAGTGTGAAAAAGGCACAGTGAAGTATCTCAGGCCATGTCAAGCTTGATACAGGGGCAACAGATGAAAAACACAGTTATGAACAGTGATGAAACTGAGGAATAGTATGTTTTCGACCTATTTTGCCCAGATATTTGCTGACAGGCTTCCTGAATCTTCGTCAGGGGAATGTTGTAATTGTCCAAAAATAAAAAGTGTAATTTATCCATGTTCAGATAGTAAACTAACACAGGCCAAAGACCAGCTTAACCGTGTTCCTACAAACTGTAAAAACAGTCAGTTTGTACTCCAAGAGTTCTTTAAGAAAACATTACTGTGTCTGTTGAGTGTAAAGTAGGGTTGATCTTCAAATCATTAAGCCCAACAGGATATCATCATTCTGACTTGCAAGTGGGAGGACACTGTTTGCAATGCGTGATGTATCCACCAGATGGCAGAGCACAACAAGCTGTTTATGTGTTACTTGGTCTGGCAGCAAATCTCCCATTATTTAAAATCTGCAGGCTGTCTGATCAGATGTAAAATATCTTAAAAATCCATTTGGGGGATCACGTGATCGGCATGGTGAACATGGTGCCGGCTTAGGTGAGCTGCGAGACACCAGACCAAACAATGCGTATTTAAAGATAGATGAAAAGCCAAAACCAGGTCCAAGATCAACCAAACATTAGCCACTGTGGGCGAATGTCTAGTCACCAGACGAACAATCAAACAACAGAGAGCGCGGGATCAAGCGTTCGCTACCATGGCAGAGGAGACGGCGCACATGTTGGACGCTGAAGAGGATACACCTGACCTGCCTGGGCGAAACTACTACTCCGCGAAACACTGGCGATCAAATCGGACTTAGCACAAAGGTTTGAGCAGCTTGAAGATAAGTTTGAAACCATGCAAAAGTCCATCCAGTCTCTGAACGAAAGAAAATAAAGCAACTGTCAACAGAGTATCCATCGCGGAAAAACGCACAAGTACGCTGGAGGACGGAAACAATGCAGTTAGCTCAAGAGCGGAAAAACTGCAAAAAGAAATCCTCCACAATCAGGTGGATGACCTGATAAGTAGGAGCAAGAGAAACAACATACGTCTAGTAAACATCAAGGAGGGGGCCGAAACTGGAGGCACGGAACATTTTCTTGGCCAAATTCTCCGCTACATCCTGGGATCTCAAGGAAGATGAGATTGATCGGGTGCACAGGGTCCCCCGTCCACGTCCAGACCCCAACCAGCCGCCGAGGCCCATTTTCATCCGCCTTCTCCGGTGATTAGACTGCCAAAATATCTTCCAGGCTGCGGGGAAGAAGACCTCACTCTCTTGGGAAGGTACCCGTTTCTTTGTCCGTCAGGATTTTTCTGCCAGGGTCCAGCAGCAGCGTGCAACATACTCCGGCATCATCGAGAAGATTAAAAGCAAAGGATACCGGTTCGGAATACTACACCCCGCAAGATTAATCGTCACTATCGACGGGCAGCGACTGATCTATGAATCCGAGGCTGAAGCGGAGAAGAACCTCAAAGTTAGACTGCCGGGCATCTTCTGAGTTGGTATGATCAGTATGTGAGTAAAACTCTGGACAAACTGTGCAAATAATCACTCTCTTTCTCCCTATTTTTTCTTCTTCTTCCTTTTCTCTATTTTTCTTTAACTTATATGCATTTTTTAATTTAATTAATTAATTTCGATTATGCAAATTAAGTAGAAGAAAAATGTTGGAGGCAGTGATTTAAGTTAAAGAACGCGTAAGTGCCCACATGTATGAATAAGAAGACTTCAATATATTTAAGCATATTCGGGACTAGGCGAGCCTTTTTTTTTTTTCCATTTATTGATTTATTTTTTAAATAAACAATTGCCCCTTTCTCTTTAAATTTAATTTAATTTACTTAACCTCTTTTGGTAAATTTCACGATTAGAGAGCTAGACTGCCGAGCATCTTTTGGCGTGGTTTGGTCAGAATGTGAGTAAAATTCTGGACAAGCTGTGCAAAAAATCACTCCCTCTCTCCCTATTTTTTTTCCTCCTTCTTTATTTATTTATTTAATTTTTAAAATAGATTTATATACATTGATCCTAAGTAATTAATGTATCTTAATTTCTGCAAATTAAGAAGAAGAAAATTGTTGGTGGCAATGATTTCAGTTAAAGACGTGTATGTATAACAAGATTTCAATATATTTAAGGCAAGTCTTTTTTTTTTTCATTTATTTATGTATTTATTTTTCCCCCAAAAAATTTCTTCTTTCTTTTTTAAATTTAACTTAATTTATTTAATGTCTCTCCAGCCTACAGTCGTAAACTTCTTGATTGGAGAAAGACTTAGGGCTCTATTTTCGTGTACGCCGGTGAGGCGACGGAGGACGGCGAGCCCCGTGCAGTTGTATTTTCGTCTGGCGCAGCCCGGCGTACAGCCAGTTTGGTATTTTCGTGGACTGGAGAGGCGAGCCGAGATCCGCCAAGCTGGGCGTGGTGGCGTGGCAGGGGGAGGTGCCGACAGAATCAGCGGGTGTAGTGACATTTTCGTGCTTGCCACCGGCGTGTAAAGTGCGCTGAAAGCTCGCCAATTCAAACCTGGTCAGCTTTCAGCGCAGGCGGAGCGCAGCTGGTCTAGTAGTATTTTGGTAGACCGGCAGCGTATCGGCATACATCACTGATGCCTCACCGGCAGGTTTCCACAGTGTCAGGCACATTTCAGTACAATAAATAATCATCAACAACTATTAATCTGAGTCAGCACATACATTTAGATCTAAATCAATATATTCTGATCTATATCTGATCTGATGAGCGTGTTTGGCACACGTTTGGACACACAACCTGACCGAATCAACACAGCTGAAACCGCATTAAATTGAATTAAATATCTAGTAAATAGACACACATGATGAAGTTAACAAGATATGTAATTCGTCTCCCTCCTTTTCTTTCTTCCTCTTCCTCTTATTTCTCGCACAGCTCGACCTGGACACGTCTCCGCGTCCTCTCTCCGTCCTGCTGCTGTGGCGGCTGAACAGATGATTTGTTTCAGTGCTCAGATGAGTTATTTACTTTAAGCCGACATATGGATATTATAATATTCAGTTTTGTGAGGCAAATTTATTTTATATGCCAACATCTATGAAAGAAAGAGCCAGGCCACGGAGCGCGATGCGTCATTTACGTACAGATGGTTCCAATTTTAATGCCATTTTTGGAGTTAATGTTGTGATCTGTGCGCTCAACCCACCTTTGTCACGTGAGGTTTGAATATATGCAACTTTATGTGAGTGTCTTTATTTGTGGAAAAGGGTGTTTGTCTTACCAGTGGGTCCAACATTACACACACCAAATCCATCTGTGCTCATATGAGAGAGTGTGGAGGACGCCCAATGCAGCGCTTACAGTGATAGTGACACTTGTTGAGGAGCTGCCCTTTGTCGCCATCTCGTGGCATTACTGTCCTCAGACATCTCTTGATCTCTTTGACTACTTCACGAAAATGGTAATATGCCTCGCCTGTGGCGGATTTAAAGGCATGGAGAGGAGCTGATGTGATTGGTGAAAACAGGTCTCGGTTGTGTTAAACCCACTACACGCCCTTTCTCCTCCCTCGCTACGACTTGCGCCGCTGGGTGGAGCTGAGTTAGGGAGGGGGGATACCTATGCCGGGCTGCGCTGCTCACCAAAATACCAAATGGTATTGGGAACGCCTTGTCAGCGCGGCAGACCTGACTGACGCCACGCATGTGGCACGTCTCCGGCGAGGCACGAAAATAGAGCCCTTAAAATTAAAGAGTAAAGTGTGAAAGACTGCACAGATGCTGATATGTTCAATTGCTTTTTTTTCTATTCAATGAATTATGTAGAAGATAATAATGGTCTGGGTGCTCTAGTTCACCATAAAAGGCCCACCCCGGACTTTCACGGATACAAGATGGGTGCAGGCCCCATCTTAGGATCAGGTTTTGTTTTTTGCTTGCCTATTGGCAGTGTTTTACTTTTGTTGTTTATTTGTATGGTATGTGTTTCATGTACCCTTTCCCGCCTCCCCTCCTTCTCACAGTTTAGCAGTGCACTTTTTTTTTTCTCCCTTTTATCAGGTATCAGGTATGCTTTATTGTCATTGCACTTGTGCACAACGAGATTGCATTTACAGATGGGGAAAGAACACACAAGAGGGAGGGAAAGGAGGAGGTAAAAAAAGAGACTGCTCTCATTAATATGAGTGTAGTGACAAAAAACCCTCAGCAACATGAGCACATTACTGACACCACATACACAGAGATTCGAAGACATGCTATGGTTGTTGATGGAGGGGGGGAGTGGAATGGGTCATCAGCGATGGTGGGAAGCCCGCAGCCGTTGCCCACGGTGAGCGCCGCCAGTCAGGGTACCACCCACAGCACTAAGGGGTGGATCGTCGAAGGCATTGGGTGGGGAAGAGGTG